CTGAATGCTATATTTGCATAAGAAATTAGGGGGTAATTTGTTATGAAATATAAACCTCAGGGGGCAAATTGTTATAAAAATACAAACCTCAGGGGGCGGGATGTAATTTCCGAAACCTCAAGGGGTATCTGTAATTTAGCCAAACCTCAAGGGGTGTATATGTAATTTGCCCTAAAAATATATATATATATATATATATATAAATCTATTTTTTTAATTTAATAATATATAAATAAAATAATTAATTGATTGAGTAAAGAAGATGTGAAAATGAGAATTATCTTAAATATTTTAAGATAATGTCGTATCATTAGATTTAATAGTAAAATCTAATTTTTAGGCTTAAGTAGCATCACCTATATTATTATAATTATTTTTTTTTTTTTTTTTGGGTGGGGGGGTGGTAGTGTTTGTGCCAAAGCTAAGCAGGATTCCACAAATTTGATCAAGTAAGACCATCTCCACTAATTTATGTGCATCCACGCTAGGACTAAGTAATTCACAATAAAGTTCTTTCTTGTGACCTGGCTTGACCCCAAGAGTTGAACCTTGAATAATTGTGTGGGAGGTATACCCACTAAACATTCAAAACGACCCCTAAATATTATTGTTCAATTTTTTTCGCAACACTATTATTATGTGTTTGTTTCTATGTCTAATTACTGGTGATTTTAAAATTTATTGAATTTTAAAAAAATTTATTTAAGTTGATTTCAAATCAACTTTGATTAAGTTGAGTATAAGTAGTTTAGTTTTTTTTTTTTTTTTTAATAATGCACATAATTTTGATGAGTTGAGCTCGAGCCTAATTAAAAAATTAACAACTTTTAAAATGTATTTAAGTTTTACGTTTGTGTATAACAAATTAATTTTATACAAATTTTTAATGAGTCAATAATAATTGAACTTGAAAATTTAGATTTTTTTCACAGTCAACACGCGGGGGGGGGGGGATTGGAAAAAAAAAAAAACAGCGTACAAAGCTTTAACTACAACAATTGTTTGATTGAGTTTTCACGATTATTTTTTTAACTAAAAGTTTAAAAAATAACAATTACTCATTATTTTGTTATGCTTTCTTTCTTTTTGGAAAAAAAACAATTTTTAAGAATTTAAAAATAATTATTTATTTTTATTTTTGCCAAATTAACTTGTATTTTTTTTTTTGAAAAAACAAGTTTGAAAACACAACTGAAGGTGACTTTTTTTATTTTTAACACTGATATGTTAACGCTTCCATTGCGTTCATAAGAAATATAGTCTTTTGAATAATAATAAGCCTAAAACACAGAATCAATCATATAAAATAATCTTAACCATATACATTAATTGGTGAAACAATTTCACATATATATGTTATTGTTTAAATAAACTTGATCAAAAAATCTCATGTGGTAGCTAGGTTCAAAGGAATTGCTTAACATGCGATTTTTTTTTTAAATTTTTTTTTTAATTGTTGAGTTGGGTATATATTTAAGAAGAATCAAATATGAAACATCTTTAAGTGTTTATTAGATTGTCATCTGACTGTATAATTTCACAAACCGACAAAACCAAAGCTGAACCATTGCACCATTACTTATAAAACATCTTTAAGTGTTTATTAGATTGTCATCTGACTGTATAATTTCACAAACCAACAAAACCAAAGCTGAACCATTGCACCATTACTTGATTTTCGCGCGGGGGGGAAGCAGTTTTAGTAAGAAAATCTCAGTCAATTTGCTTGGTTTCATTTTTTAAAAAATTTTACTTTCTTATTTTTTATTTTTTTTGTTTTTACTGAATTTTTTAATATTTTAAGCAATTTTTTACTTTTTAGACACACCTAACATAAATACACCTAAAAAGTAAAAAAATTGTAAAAAAAATCTTTTAAAAATTCACTAAATACCAAAAATACAAAAAAATACAAGAATTCAGTATATTTTTTGTAATTTTATGTATTTATTAATTTTTAAAAATATTTTTTTTACAAATTTTTTACTTTTTAGATACATCTAAGTAAGGTGCATCTAAAAATGTAAAAAAAAATGTTTAAAATTTTAAAAATATTCACTAAAAACAAAAAAATACGAAAATTAAAAAAGTTAATTTTTAAAAAACTTAATCCAAAAAACTCAAACTAAACACACTGAGTAGTGTCTATGTATTATTAGACTAATAATAAACAAAAAAAAATTAAAAATGAGGCTTATTTTAATAATATGATACATGCTACTACATCAAACAAAACATATTTGTTAAATATATTAATTATATATTTTTACTATTTTTTATTGGGTAATACTATTTGTAGACTACATAAAATTTATGCATACACTATTTGCCTTCTTTTTTTTTCGTTGGGTGGGTACACTATTTGCCTTTTGAATACTGATTTTCAAGCAAAAGTTACATTTTTAGACATAAATTTCTAAAACAAAAAATAATTACTCAGATATAAACAATTGAATAGAATATATATCTGAACAATTCATTTCGAACATTCTATTTTTTACTTTATTTTTTTATGAAAAAAATTATATGACAATGGTAAATATTGGGGGAAGAGAGTAGCATGAAATGTAGCAAGAAATAAGACGATGAATATCTTTGATCAGGAGAAATGGATATGCAGATAAGCTACTCTAACATATCTTGCAGTTAATGGTGGTGCCAATAAATATGTAAAGTGCATGCAATTACACACAAAGACATGGCCACAAAGACATTGAATCATTACTTTCATATGTAACGCTTGTAATTTTGTAAAAATTATTATTGGTAGGAAAGTATCACTCACAAAAGATAGATGGCGGTGCCAAATAAATATGTAAAGTACATGCAATTACACACAAAAGCATGGCCACAAAGGCATTGAATCATTACTTTCATATGTAACGCTTGTATTTTTGTAATAATTATTATTGGACTATTATCTAGTAAAGTATCACGCACAAAAGATAAAATAGAATATCTATTTAATTTGGTGACGCCATACAAACAATTTTTTACATATAAAAAATGGGATAATGTTGTACATAATAAATTAAAATTTTAAATTAATTTTTTTAAAGAAAAAATATTTTAATTGTCCAAATGTCTTTCTCGCTCTCGCTAAAAGTCTAATTTTTTAAATTTTATTTTCTAGAACAGCCTTTTAGCTAAGATCCTCGCAATAAAAGGAATTAATCTCCAAAAAAAAATTTAGAAACAAAAAAAAAAAATCTTTAAAAATCTTGTTTATTGTAGTGACAATTTCATAATTAAACTAGAATTATTCGTAATTAATTAACACCGCATAGTTTCCTAACTTCATTCACCACAATTTTTATTTTTTAGTTTTACAACACCACAAAGTCTCATACTTACAAAATTTTAAATGATATTAATTGTGATTATTAAATAAATTTATTTTATTTTTATTTAATATATTTAATTTTAAGTATTGAATTGAGTTATCAAATACCACCCTAAGTAGTTCTAAGGGTGGCAGATTTTTATGAATCGACTAACTTATTTGCCATGTGATATTTAAATAAGTGATTTATATAATATAATAGGAACATCATTTTCACATTAATGTTTTATTCAATAATATAAAAATAAAAATTAGTGATTGATGGGATAATGGCATATGCTATGAAGTATAGATATCAAGACAATATGATATGGCAATACGATAAAATAAAATAATAAAAAAATATGAATATAATTAAGATATGCTTTATACATAAAAAAATATTTTTAGTATTATATTATTCACAAGCTTAAAGATTGTGAAAAATGATTCTTTAATGCTGTGTTTGGTTGGGGTTTTTGGGGTGGGATTTGGAAAAGGAATGAGAAATGTAATCCTATTTATGTTTGGTTATAATAAAAAATATATGGGAAAAGAAAGGGGGTGAGAAATAAATAAAGAAATAGGAGACCTTTTAGGATATCAATTCTATTTTATAACCAACACAACCAAACATAGTTGGGATTTGGAATTCTATTAATTCTTTCTCCTTTTCCTTTCATTTCCATTTCCCATTCCATTTCCCTTCCCAAATCCTCAAACCAAACACAGCGTAAGAGTTAAATATTAGTTCAAAAATCAATAGTCAATTTACTTCTTTTTTTTTTCTTTTCTGAAACAGGATATTTTAATTTGATAAAATTAAAAAAAAAATATATCAAATACACGAACAAGTTTCCAAAGGGTATATCGGCTAAGCTAAGCAATTTTACCACATATTAAATAAAAAAAAATAAAAAAACCACTCAGTTTTATTCAAAATTAAATAAATTTGATGGACGAAAGTATCTTTAAATTTACACTTTGTACTTTAATTTTTGATAAAATATTTTAATTAATTAAATTTTTTTTAGGTAAGTAGAAATTATGAGAGAATATATAGAGGGTGTGTTGGCAATGGGGTGTAATTCCATGGGATGGCCAGGTGGGCCACCATCATAACAGTGGGACCCAAACACGGTGAGAGAAAATTTTATGCTGGTATTTTGAAGCCAGTAACGGCATTTCATCCCTCCCCCCTCCCCAACAAAAAAAAATGTTATATGGGTCAAAGAGAATACCTAATTATGTGTCTGTCCAATGACATTTAGGTTGTTTTTAGAAGTGTTAAAAAAAATAAGTTCATGGACTTATTTGAATTACATTATTTATATATTTTTTACATATTTTTTTTGTTATAAATAAAAGAAATCAATTTTTAGAACTTTTTAAAACAACTTTTAGTTATTTCTCTATTTATTTTTTTTTATTTTAAAGTCGTATAATTATTTAAACTCTTGTTATTGATTGAAAGTATTATCAATAAACTTTTTTTTTGGAAAATACAGAATAATTTCTTGTCTCCATCTCTCTACCACCACACTAAGACCTTCCATCGCCACCACCCCCTTTTTAAATGCCTCCTCACCCCCTCTCTTCCCCTTGTAAGTCTCTCTCTGTCTCTCTACTTCCTTATCTCTTTGTATCGGTCTCTTTCTCTTACCAGCTAGTAGCCACCATGTCTGACCTGGGTGGTGGACATGAGAACTTCTTTTGGGAGACTCAGTCATGGGCTTTTTCGAATTCAGATGATTTGGGTTGTATCGGTGAAAAATCTGGTGGGAAGGCGCCACCTGATTCGGGGTCTAATACTCAGACACCAATCGGAAAACAAGTGGAGGAGGTGATAGCGGTGGCACTCAGAAAGAAACGAGGCGGGGTTGGTAAGAATGGAAAAGGGTGTGGTGGTGAGGCCAATGAAGGAAAAGGTGGTGAGTCAGATCATGAGACACATATATGGACAGAGAGAGAAAGAAGGAAGAAGATGAGGAACATGTTCTCTAATCTTCATGCTTTGCTCTCTCATCTCCCTCCCAAGGTAATTCATTCCCATCTACTTCAAGATTGAGATTGATGTGTATATATGGAATGATAATTAAATAGTTGTTCATGCTAGGTTATTCTATCTTGAAAAAGTCTAGAAATATAAAAACTGATAACAGAATCAGACACAATTTATAAAATTGTTCAATTTTGTGATTAATTTCGGTATTCTTAGAAAAAAAGAAAAGAAGAAGAGAAGAAGCAATTCTACCATTCTTTTTCCCACCTTTTTGATGGAGGCCTAATCCCTCTCTCTCTCCCATCTCTTTCTCAAAGTTAATTTATTAAGGCAAGTCATTTTTTACGTACAAAGTTTTCAAGTTTTTCAATTTATTTCCTTTAAAGGGCAATTAATGAGAAAGATATAACAGATTAGTCCTCTTCATCAAGTCTATTTAAGGATGTCATGGGGTGATGGGACACTTATTCCATGAAAAATCAATTATTTATTACTATCAATCATTGAAATGCTATTAGTGAAGCTAGGATTCATTAAGTTATGGTTTTTTTGGGGGGGTTTCAAATTCAACTGAATGTTCCCATTAATCCTTTCGAGTAACTTCATAAGCCTCATCAATTTCCGTTTGTTTCTTAATGTGGATGACCTACAACTTTATGAAAAATGGATTACAAAATCAAACACAAACTTTTAACACAACTAATGTAAAAAAATTGTATCTGATTATATTATTCATTTCTATGCATATGTAGAGAAATTGAGAACTTTATATTTCTCTCGCAACACAAAGTTTCAATTAATTACAAATGAAATGGTATTTATTAGAACACCGATAATGCCATCTAACTGGTGGATTTTGTTCACAATATTAAAAAGGAAGTGCATGTGTATGTTAGTCTTACAAAAATGGTTTAATGCGATTATATATGACTCTCCGAAAGTAAAAAAGAAATTTTGGGATAAGCACATGAGTCTTGGACATAACGCATATCATGTACTTAGAAAATTTTCAAAATTTGAATGAGATACATTTAAATTTGGTGCTTTGACAATACTCAAAAATCAAATTTATACATTTTTTGTTCTAGCATTTTTATTGTGATATAAGAAGAGGGTCATTAAGGCCTAGTTCAAACAAAAAAAATATACAAACAAAAATTTTATATAAAAAGTTCATTCAAAATTGTATAATAGTAGTATTTTTTAAATTAAATGCTTAACTGATGGGTATTTGATTTCAAAAAACGATAAAACTACAATTACTCACATCCATTTTGTTTGAATTTTGCCTTCTCATAATCCATATGACAGTTCACATTGAATATTTGTATAGGCAGACAAGTCCACGATTGTGGACGAAGCAGTGACCCACATAAAATCCCTACAACAAACTCTCCAAAAGCTCCAAAGGCAGAAGCCGGAAAGGCTCCATGGCTTGACACCCATGAACTTCGATGGTCAATCGTCCATAATCACCCCACAAAAGCTTCCCATGGACTCGAGGGAGGCTTTCATGGCCAATCAAGCTTCTTCAAACAACACAAACTCAAACTCATCTAATGCACTGCCAGTGTCTCTCTCTCGGTCCCCTCCTCTATTCCAGACTTGGACTTCTCCAAATGTGATCTTGAATGTGTGCGGTGATCATGCACAGATTAGCGTGTGCTCGATGAAGAAGGCTGGACTCTTCACTGTTATCTGCTATATGTTGGAGAAGCACAAGCTGGATGTTGTGTCTGCTCATGTTTCATCGGATCAGAATCGGACCATGTACATGATTCAAGCCCATGTAAGTCTCCTCTAACTTACTTCCTTGCACATTAGAGATGATTGTTACAAGCTATCGCTTTCTCTTACCTTTTTTTTTTTTTTTTCTAATCAAGGCAAAAAAAAAAATTTAATTAAAAATTAAAAACTTTTCATCTACTTACTGTTGTTGGATGAATCAGATTTGGGTTTTTGAAATTAGTGATTCAGCTATCATTTGGGGTAATTCTTTTTTTAACGCATTTTTGGGTAGATTATGTTACTGAGTAAGTTGCCAATATGAGGCCAGTTGAATTAGGGTTAGCTTGATGCATGAATAGTGTGTTTGAGTTTGGAAACACATGATGAAACCCAAATTTTGACTGTTCATGATGAACAAGGGTTTTATGATTATCAATAGCACATGCAAATTTGGGGCGAGTTGAAACCCACTTTGACCATTTTTCAATTAATGTAGTAAGTATTTTCATATGTCAAATGAATAATATGTAAACTCGAGCCTAATCATCATAATTGATAAGGCAACACCTCATCTACTAAGTCAATCCTTTGTTCTTGATACGTGTTTTATGAAAATCTAAAGAAACTAACTTTTAATTTTTCACAATAAAAAATGAAGCAGTTGATATGGAGTGAAGAACCAATAAAATCTGAATTAGTTCAACAAAAAACTGAAGCATTTCAGAAATAAAAAATTAAAGTGGTATTTTAAAATAATTTTGGAATTAAAAAAAGCATGACAACTTAATTGTTATTATTATTATTTTTGGTTGTTTCAAAGTAATAGATGCTATGGTTTTATACATCAGTATAATGTGTTTAATTATTATTATTATAAAATTAAAATTCTGGGTTGGCGAATTAATGTGAACAGGCAAAGATAGCTCCAGATCAGCTTTCAGAGGCATTTCCACTGGAAGAAATATACAAGCAAGCAGCAGGAGAGATAATGGTGTGGGTCTCAACTCCATGATCATCATCATCATCATCATCATCATCATCATCATCATACTAGAAATACTTCAAGAATCAAGATCAATTTTTGTCTCCTGAAACCCAACTGTAATATTATGGTAAGAGATATGATCGGTATTCTAGCTTTGTGAAGATCTTGTTAGCATACAGCAAAATGGGATGTATGTGCAAGCCTGCTTCTTCCTTATACATATAGTTTGTTGGTTTTGTTTTCATAGCATGCTTTGGCTAATCTATAGCTGCTTGTGGGCAGGCTGCTGTGGCTTTGATAATGTCCTTAACTATCAATGTATAAGCTTCAGTGATGTTTGATATATATGAAGGTTTCTGAGAAAACTGAAGCAAAAGAAACAATTCCAAATCAAAATCACTCTATTTCAATTCATCCTAATGCAATGTACTTGCCATTGGCTTACCCGAGTTCTGTTTCCCAACAGGAAATAGGATGGTTTACTTGGTTTCTTTTCTTTCCTGCGAGGATGTATTTCAAAGGTAGCCTGAAAAGTTCAAGCTTCACCAGATATTTCTTCAATATTAGCAAGTTAACAGTATCTCACCCCTATAATGAGAGATCCTAAAGAAAACAAACCATTTGCCACTCCAACACATGACCCAACGAACAAACAGTTAGTCATACAATTACTGTTATACAATTAGATCAAACATAGGGTAACATGGTTAACACAACTGTTTTATGGTACTTACAAATGCCAGTTGGAAAAGGCAAAGGAAAGGATACAGCAACAAGAAAAGCACAACATTGAAGAAGGTGCTAAAGAAAAGAACACAAAGGATAGGTTGTCCTCTGAAATGACCAAACTGTTTTACACCCACTGACTCTAGACCCAGGAAATAATTTTGTCGTCATTGAGAAAGCAGAGCTGGTCTCTGTAAATGTCTATCCCATGGCAGGCATGTCCCCAATCACATTGCATATATTATTTCTCCACTGCTATCAATGTCAAGGTCGGGATCAGTATCCAAGTCCTCCTCCATGTCATCATCAATGTCCAGGCTGCCAGTCAGATACTGGTTGAGACTCTGGGTTCCGGCAGCCGGTACGGTAGCCTCGGCAATTATTCCCATGATTTCATCAACACTTTGCATGGGTTGTTCGGGCTCTTCAAACTGGTTGTTCATCGCTTCTTCATCCATGAGGTCAGCCGGAAGGTTCTTTAGAAACCACTCATGGTTCCGGATCTCTGGAATGGTTATCCTCTGTTGGGGGAAAAAAATGTAGTTAAAGCCAGAAATTCAATGTCCCATACTCAATAATGTTTACACAGAAAATGGAAGTGTGTAAAATTGTAAAATCAGAGGAGATTCACAAGTCCCATACTCAATAATGTTTACACAGAAAATGGAAGTGTGTAAAATTGTAAAATCAGAGGAGATTCACAAGTAAATCAGTCAAAAAGGGTCACCCACCCAAAAACTCACAGGTATTGCAAGACAGAAAATTATAGCATCTACAAAAAAAAAAAAAGATACCAACAAATAAAAACTGACCTTTGTAGGGTCGCCTACAAATATCCTTGAGATCAGATGGCGGCACTCTGGTGATATATGAACATAATCTGGAATAGAGTATTGAACATTCAAAATTCGCTGCACAAAAAAAAAAGAAAAAAAAAAACTATGTGAGTCAAGTAATCCAGCTGAGCTGTGATATCTACAACAGTAGCTCTTGTGATGAATTACTTGTATTGTCCTGCGAAAATTCTTAGGCTCCTCAGGATCCTCAAATGGGTATGCACCGACCAGCATGACATATAAGGTTACACCACAAGACCACACATCTGCTATCTATAAATAGCTCATCATACCAGCAAAACCATCATAAAAGGCGCTGTCAATTATAACAAAAACATGCTACAAACAACAAATATCAAGTTCAAGAAGTTCAGAAAAATCAATTCAACACCTTCAGAGCCAAATTCAATAAAGTAATGAAGAATGAATTTACCTTGCCATCATATTCTTTCTTAAGTAAAACTTCAGGAGCAATGTAAGCAGGGGTTCCAACTGTTGATTTTGGTTGTGAATGCAGCACCGAAGACTGACAATAGCAAAAAGTCAAAATCCGAATAACAATTATCAAAAAGCATGAAAAAATAACAGGTACAAAACGAAAATGATATCCAATCCAACAAAATCATCCAAGTCCTACAAAACAAGTCTAAGAGATATGCATGCCTTTGTTTTATAATTTGTGTGAACCAGTATAATTTTGAAAGACAAAATTTAAGAATTTAAGAACTGCAGACTGCCACATGTAATGTCTGCATTGCAATGTCAACCACGTAGTTTGGATAGGTAAGTCAGAGAGTTTCATTCAAATTGAATAGCACTTCTTAGTACGAAAAGATGAAAAACCAAATCAAAAGATTCATAGTAGACCCATATTATTAGACGTACTGAAACTACCAATCTTTTTTTCCTTTGTTTTTTTACAAATGGCCGGAAACATGTACACATGCATTTAAACAACTACCAATGTAATAATCTGAATAAAGATTAGTCTCAAACTCTTCAGAGATGCAGTATCATGGAAACATGAGTAATTCAGAATAGCAAGAAAAAGAAAAACGACCAGGCACCTTGGAATACCCAAAATCGCAAATCTTCAGCCTGGGAGCTGGGCTTCCATCCAGTAATGTGTTCTCCAATTTCAAGTCACGATGACATACTTGCTTCACAAAGGAATATAGAACATTACATCAAACTCAACCATTAACTTTGTATCTGTAAGATATAAGTAAAACAGGGAACTTAGTTTACATACCATTGCATGGCAATAGCTGACACCTGATATAAGTTGTTGGAAGAAGAAACGTGCCTGCAGTAAAATTAGGTGTCGATAAGCAATAATCATATGTGAAGATCCGACCAAGAAACAAGATGAATTGTTGGGGGAAAAACCTCATCCTCACTGAACCGTCCTGCATTGCATATCCGCTCAAAGAGCTCTCCTCCAGATGCGTATTCCATGACAATAGCCACATGGGTTGGTGTTAATATGACCTAGAGTAGGAGTTATGGGACATTTAATTTAACTGAGCCTCATTCTCTTAAAAAAACAAAAACCCAAAGGAAAAAAATATTAAAAAGCAAATAACATACACACAGAGGGATTGGAATAGAACATACCTCTTTGAATCTTACAATGTTGGGATGCCTCAACGTTCTGTGGTTAATAATTTCCCTTTGTACATTTTCATCTATCTGTGACAAAAAAAATTTAGAAAAATGAATAATCCTGCAGAGGTAAACAAAAATATCTTAGAAAGAAATGGGTACAAGTTCAAGGTTGCCATATCATATCACAGCAAAGCAGAAACCATACAGTCTGTTACAAAAAAAGTCGGATAACTCCAATTGTGTGAGTTAACAGAGTGAATAGCATCTTCTCACAGTAAGACGCCAAGTTGAAATACTTTCCCAGTTGCTCTTCTAGATAAATCCATAACATTATCGTTAAATAGCATAGTTGGGGGCTGCCAATTCTTGCAGTTTATGAAAAACCAACTGATTTCATCTTTTTTCTTCTTTTTTTTTTGTTACAAGAAAATGCTCCCTACCCTTCCGCAAGTCCAAGGCAGCGCCCCTTGCAAAGATCACCAGGGTGTCCTGTTAGCCGTTCCAAGCGAGGAGACTATAACCTGAGAACTTGCCCCGACCTCCCAAGACAAGCTCCACTTAAGTCAGGACTCGCACAGCGGGGGAGCATTGAACCCACGCCAAGTGCTGATTAGACAACTTGAGGTCCAACCTCCTAACCAACTATGTTTCGCGCAGGAGATTAGCCCAGGGAGGAGGGAATTGAACCTGTGACCTTGGGGCTTAAACCCCAAGCCTTAACCACAATGCCACTCAACTAGTGAAAAAAATTAAGAGAAATTAAAAAACAAACAGACCTAGAATGATCTTCCATTATGCTTTCTCTTGTCCTTTCAAACAGAACAAAAACATATAACTTTTAGGGTAGCTGTTGCAATAAATCAACTTGTCTTTCTTTCCCCCCAAAATCTCAAGCATAACCATCATTAATGTTGACAGGTACTAATTCCAAATTCAAATTAAGTTTTAGAGTAGTGCTACTCCAGCCCAAAAATTAGCCTCACTTTTAAGAGAAGTTATTTGGTGGTCTAGGAACATTGCTCCACACCATTAATCTAAAGACAAGTGTCCAATTGGAGACAAAAAGGAAATGGGTCCCACTGATTCAACCAATGATAGCCAAGTTGGAGCACCACATCATATTGCCCCAGAAGCAAAGAATAATGTTCCCACTTTTAAAGCCATAACAGTCTATTAGAATATGTAAAAACAACTCTCTATCTCATATCTTCCTTAATCATCAGCCAATTATGTCTATTACACATCACTTGGTCTAAAAATGTACTTGTATATCATTTTCCTAAGTTTTAACATATTGAATTTGGAACATAAAATGCAATAAGTGTCAATAAATTCCAATTCCACTTTCAAGCTCAGAACTAATAAACCCCACTTATCAAAAAACGCAAATTTTTAATTGAATGATCAATAGTTGGCGTCACTAAAATCCAATTCCACTTTCAAGCTCAGAAGAACTAAACCCACTTACCAAAAACGCAAATTCTTAATTGAATGATCAATAGTAACCAAACAAGCTAACTTCAAAATCCAAACTTGACTAAGCTCAAAAAACAAAAATTAAAAAATAAACCTAAATTGTCACTGACCTTGTCACCTCTCTCGATATACTTGACAGCAACGAGCTCACCGGTCTGCTTGTCCCTCATCAACCTCGCCACACCAAAATTACCCGAACCGATGTCTCGAACGAGCTCGTACCGATCGCTATCGTGCATGATCGGCATGTCCATGCCAGGACCAACCGTCACAGCAGATCGATCCATGGTCTCTCTCTCTCTGTTTCTGAACTCTATCTTCAAACGAAGTCGAATTCACATTATCAGACTAAAAAAAGGGGCTCGATTTCCACCGAGAAAAACCCTAGCTGTGAAATCAACGTGGCGCGAGATCGATCGCAGAAAGGAGAGAGATTGGGAGAGTTGGGTGAAGAAGATAGAGACGGAAAGGTGTGAGAGCTAGAGCCCGTGAAGCTTTTCCTTACCTACTTCCCAACAATCAATGGATTGCTGGTTTTTTAGGGTTTTGATTTGGGACACTTCAACGATGATGATGATGCAGGGGTAGAGAGAGAGAGAGAGAGAGAGCTCGTGAAGTTGTTTATGGAGGATGCTACTTTTTCACACTTGGGGTTCTCTCTCTCTCATACTTTTTGTCTTTATAGTGAACTCCCTCTCTCTCTCTCTTCACACTTGGGGTTCTCTCTCTCTCATACTTTTTGTCTTTATAGTGAACTCCCTCTCTCTCTCTCTCTCTCTCTCTCTGTTTCTATCGAAAAGAAAGGCTTCCAGGAGAGAGAGAGACGCACGGAGAGAGCGAACTGGGCCTTGTTAGATATTTTTCTAGTATTTTTTTTTTTTTGGATAATTTAAATAAAAGAGAGAGAGAGAGAGAGCTCGTGAAGTTGTTTATGGAGGATGCTACTTTTTCACACTTGGGGTTCTCTCTCTCTCATACTTTTTGTCTTTATAGTGAACTCCCTCTCTCTCTCTCTGTTTCTATCGAAAAGAAAGGCTTCCGGGAGAGAGAGAGACGCACGGAGAGAGGGAACTGGGCCTTGTTAGATATTTTTCTAGTATTTTTTTTTTTTTGGATAATTTAAATAAAAAATGGATTTAAAAATATTTATAAATAAATTATACTCAGATATTTAAATATATATTTATAAATAAATTATACTCAGATATTTAAATATATATTTTAATTGAAAATATATGATAATATTTTTTTTACATTTATTGATAAAATAACGTAATTGGTATGTGATTTAAAATTTTAAAACTATGTTTAGATTATAGATTTTGGTAGAAATTTGTAAAGAAAAATAAAAATAAATATGTAAAAAAATATATATATAAAATGTAATAATTTTGCATTCACGAATAAAAAAGTTTAAAAAATTAATTATTTTAAAAGAGTGAAATTAATTATGAGAGACTTATTTATAAGTCATTTTTCAGACACTTATGGTAGGTTAAGTCCTGTGTAATTTCTTATAGAGTCTCAAGTCCTATTTAGATAGGAATGTGTTCCATAAGATCATACATAAACGTAACCTGACACCTATATAAACGTAACGTAATGTGACACCTACATAAACGTAACGTAACGTGTCACGTTACGTTTCGCAAACTTAATGAGTTTTTATTTTTTTAAATTAAATGTGAAAATGTTGTTAGTTTATATTGGTGTCACGTTACGTTTCATATAAATATGATGTATGACAACATTCAATTTCCTATGTCATAGATCATAGGTGTCACGTTATATTTATGTATATGTCACGTTACGTTACGTTTATGTAGATATGATCTATGGTAACATTCAATTTCCTATATATATAAAATTGAATGTTACCATAGATTATATGTGTCACGTTACGTTTATGTAGGTATCACGTTACGTTACGTTTATGTAGATATGATCTATGGTAACATTCAATTTCCTATACGGGAAATTGCATTTTATCATAGATCATAGGTGTCACGTTACGTTTATTTGGATGTCATGTTATGTTACTTTTATATAGATATGATCTATGGTAACATTCAATTTCCTATATGATTTTACTATTATTCATGATATTAACAACTAATATTGAGAGTAAATGTATCAACAAATTTCTTACAGGACTTATGAGAACATAAGTTTTTTAGTAGGATCATATATAGCATAAGTCTCCCTAATAGGACTTATGCAATTATCAAGAGATTATTATTTTCACATAAAACAAAATTATGTTATACTAATGACAGCCCAATAAAAGAAAGACAATAGAAAATAACTATAATTCCAACATTTCATAGGAAATTAGTGATTCAAATCTTTCTATCTGCATATGGATTTTATTCTTCGTATATTTTCTTTATAAAATTTGAATTATTTTGAGAAGTGGCTTATAAGATAATTTTTTAGCTTCTTACGAAAAAAAATATGTAAAAATTAGAAAGGTGATAAAAAAGGTGATATAACCTAAATAAGTCAATAAGGCTTCGTTTGGCAAGAATTTTTGTGGCTATTTTAGCCACAAAAGACAAAACAGACTATTTTAGTCATAACAAACAAAATATCACATCCAATTCATAATCATTATACTCTTTCTCACAAAAAAATCAAAAAAGTCAAAAAACCAAAAAATCCTTCTTAAACCAAACTTTTTAGCCCAAGTTAAAATAGTAAAAAAAAATCAAAAAGTCAACTCACTTTCCAAACGGAGACTAGTTAGTTTATAAGCTACTTTTCAAAATAACCTTTTATATTTGATTTTCATTACTATGATTGTAATTTATTGAGTTTCATTGTAATACCTTATGTAAATGATAAAATAAAATAAAAAAAAAAAACAATATCTTACATTAATAAACACTTTCGTTAAGATTTGTTTCGACATAAAAATGTAATAATATATAGACTTTCATGAACCCGATCGGGCCGAGTTTGGATGGGTGTTCCGGGTCGGGATCGAGGACATGGATCTCTACTTGGGGCCCAAGGCTCCATATCCAGCGTCCGGATCCTCTAGAGTAACTCTCTAGAGTGATCCTCTAGAGTGGATGATCGGACGGTTCAGAATCGTCCTCACCAAAACGACGTCGTTTTGGTGAGGACGATTCTGAACCGTCCGATCATCCACTCTAGAGGATCACTCTAGAGAGTTACTCTAGAGGATCCGGACGCTGGATATGGAGCCTTGGGCCGCCACCATCGCCACTGCCGCTCGCCACCGTCGCCGCTGCCGCTGCCACACCGCTGGGTCACCATACTCAACAGATTGAAAGAAAAAACCACAGGTTCGTTTCATCCTCTAAACTTCAAAAAATTTAGGGCTTTGATTCAAAAAATTAGGGAAAAAATCAAAAAATATGATCTTACGGTTTTGATTTGAGACCTTTTTACATGATTTATTTCAGATCTATGCTTAGAGGAACCGAACTGTAGATGATTGGAATCATCAAAGAAATTTGTGAATATATTTATATATATATATATATGCATCTGTGTGTAATGGGCTTGAAATGGGCATTTAATCTGTGTGTAATTTAAATTAATGACACAAAGCTGTAGTATTTAAATTCCAAACATGGGCATCTGTATGTAATTTAAAATGACCCTCTATTTGTATAATTTAATCTGTGTGTAATTTAAATATAGTATTTCTCTGGTTGATCATAAAATAGGCATTCTAAGTTTGGAAGACAGAGGAATGTAAGAGAATGATATATGTAATTAAGTTTGTTTAGAGTCAATGAGCACTAATTATATTTGGTGTTTCTTCACCTAACACTAATTTCACAAAATATTATTGTATCTTCTTTTGTTTTATTAACCTCTACCACTTGCTACTTTTTTGTCTACAATTATCCCTACTCCATTCATATGTTTTTCTTTTTCAACATACCAAATTTTATATCATGTTCTTTCAAATTCGTTAGATTTTTTCTTACCCATTTAGTTTCTTGTAAACAAATAATATTAATTCTCTTTTTAAAGTGTGGGAACCCTTGCTTATTTTTCACCACACCTGAGCAGTGATGTAACTAGTGACTTGGAAGAACTCCCTTGCTGATCTGTGATGCACGATCCACATTAGGACTGAAATAGGGTTTTAGCTTATGTCACATGGTAAAGGTTAGATGTCACTTCAACTGTTCTGGTTGGTTGGGATGTTGCAGAGTTGTGTGATTGTGTTTTGAATATGTCATGTATACTCGAGCTTTTTAACTCATAGTTTACTTGTCATTCAATTCACAGGGTTGCTTTAAAGTTGGTAGTGGGAAGTTCCACCTTAATTTAATCTTCTTTGATAATATCTGACATTATTAGTTCTGTGAACTGTCTTGTTGACTTGGGCTTGCGAATTAATAGTTCTCTTTTCATTTCAACTTGGCTTGAATGCACCAGCAACTGAAGTTGGACACTCCTAATCAGTATGTGTTTTTCAACACTATAATTACTTGATTTGTCGAAAGTATATGCTTCACATCAATATCTGTTACACTACATATTTGCTGCAAAACAGTAATGCACATTTTCAACAAGTACTAATATAGTTGCTCAAATGAATTTGTTAGTTTTACAAATTTCGTTTGTCCTTTATTGATTAACTAATTCTTGTCCATTGTAGTCTACGAACAACCACTGCAATTACTTCAGGTGGTTCGCAGACGACGACGACGACGACATTACCGCATCAACTTCAACCAATGCTGGACCTCGGTCAACAACAGAAGAAATTAATGATCTGAGGACAACGCTTGGTGAGCATGATAGAAGGCTTGAAAGGATGGAGAAGATGTTCAAGGCAATGACTTATGTCATTGTATTTTGTGTATTTTTGTACTTTATCTTGTAAATGACTCAATGTAAGCTACTTTGTGTATTTTGTGTATTCAAGAACAATGTACTTTTGTATTTTAGGTTTTCGAACATGCTATGAATGTAATGTACTTTTGTTCTTGTTTTGTAATATTTTTTTGGTGCTTAAAAATCTTATGGCTTGCAAAAACAAGTGTATAACAGGTTTGTTTGAGATGAAATCTGTTTGAGATGTATGCTGCCAAATAGAGATCACTCTACTTGGCAGACCTTGTTTTTGACTTTTCAAACAATACATAGATACTTTTCCAAAAACAGGTTGAAATGTATGCTGCCAAATGTATGCTAAAGTTGAAATGTATGCTGCCAAACAGGTTGAAATGTATAACAGGTTGAACGTTTGAGATGAAATCTGTTGAATTATTGGTTTGTGAAATCTATTGAGTGTATAACAGGTTTGTTTGAGTTGAACATGTTGAATTGAATAACATGTTCAATGAACAGGTTGAATAACAAGGTGTACAATGAACAGGTTGAACGGTGTGTATAACAGGTTTCTTTGATATGAAATGTGTTGAATTGTTAAAGTGGGTATTGATTATGAACAGGTTGAAATGTATGCTACCAAATAGATCATCAGTACCAAATGAACAGGTTAAAGTGTGTTGAATTGAAATGTATGCTGCCAAATTGATCTATGCTGCAAAATAGTTGGATTGAGATAAACAGAGATCTTTCGAGACCTAACAGTTCTTACAATCCCATGATGATTCATTAAAGAATCTACAAACACTACTTTAGTCTAATTCTGGGACTGTGTTTTGCTCTTTATTTATTGGTTATTTATTATCTATTTAATAATTAACATTTTATCATTCAGTTTCTATGGTCAATTATTTATTAATGCTATAGTTTAAAAAACAATAAATAAAAAAACACCACAAAGGTTTATTTTCGCAAATAACTTTTAACTGCAGCAAAAACACATTTGGGAGGGAATTTTAAGACAAATTTATGTCTAGAACCTACCAAATCTTCCAACTATAGAAGTAATAACAACATGGGAAAAATTCAACATATAAGTTGCAGCAATTTTTTTATGATAAAGATAGTAACAATCCTGTCACAAATTTGCTCGCTCAATCAATGGCAGTTACATGCTCCGGCACAACACCACAATGAATACAAACAGCAAAAACACATTTGGGAGGGAATTTTAAGACAAATTTATGTCTAGAACCTACCAAATCTTCCAACTATAGAAGTAATAACAACATGGGAAAAATTCAACATATAAGTTGCAGCAATTTTTTTATGATAAAGATAGTAACAATCCTGTCACAAATTTGTTCGCTCAATCAATGGCAGTTACATGCTCCGGCACAACACCGCAATGAATACAAAATTCTCAAAACAAGGTTATCTAAAGATGACATCCAGCCACAGCTTGAGAATAAGAACATACACCGGAATTTTCTGTGCTTTCATATTTTCTTCTAAAATAAAAGAAGCTACAAAACCCCTACTTGGACACCGGCCTTGTGAGCTGAATGGAATGCAGAATCTGCTTCAGCGGTTAATTGGAGTGTGCATCCGCTCAACAATCCTACTTATAGCATCACGGGACATCATTAATGTGTCATGTAGTAGAATGCTTTAGACATTTAAACCCTGCAAAATAATAAATTGGAACAAGATGATTTAACAACAAAGACATAAGCCAACAAAATTTCAACATTTCAAGGGAAGTTTTCTCCTGGACATTCCTTTCTTCTCTTGTCCATCTCTTCATTTTGGTGACTTAAATTGTAGGAAGTACACTTATCCTACATCGGTGATACTCACAGGCTCAACTACATCCATTTATACCCTTGTCTACGCAGTCAGACGCTGTTACATGGACTTCAAATGCGGGTGTCATTCTAAGTGTTGGGTTCGTCTAGTTCCCATGTGAAGAACACTCCTGGATTTCATATTTATTAAAAACTTTTTTACTTCATAAGGTGTTCACAAGCTAACATAGGGCATGTAATGCATAAAACATGAGGCTTATATTAAATAGTAAACTCAACTACTTAGAAATTCTTATCAGGTGCAGGTTCAATTATATCTCACACGCACTATATCCTATAGCTTTACCCAATTATCAAGTGCCTAACACCAGTACTTCACAAATTTAGAAAAGTTCATGTAACATAGGTCAAACTTTCCAAATAAGAACACATAACATGAGGAGACTCCCTAAGAGGAATACACATCTTGGGCTGAGTGCTAGAATAGGAGTGGAAACAATAGCTCAACACAATTACATAACTCTATTAATTACATTGACACGCGTGATGTCATGCAATCATATCTGAGCTCTAAAGAAGATTGCTATCAGATTGAATGATAGTGATGCAGCTGGTTACATTAGAATCTAGCAATGTTGAGACTTGTTTATGGAAAACTAGAAGTCAAACTAAGCTAATTTTGCAAAAAACTAATAAATACAATACTTTGCCATTTCAAATCTGGCATTACGTGCAGAAGCATGCCAAGTGTTGGGATTTGAACTTGGGAAAATCCAATGGGAAGTAGTGTTCATGTCATCAACCTGCATACCATTTTTAACAGAATTAATACAAGAAGTAAAGAAAATAATTACGAAAAGAAATTTATAACTTGAAATTTATAACTACAAATTAATCAAAATTTCAACATTTCAAGGGAAGTTTCAGCAACATTTACTGAGTAATTTGAACAGAAAATTTTTAGCAACAGTTTGATGACAAGTTTGAATATTACATATCCAACAAAAAAATTCACAAAAATTTCCAAAACAAAATAACGCTAAGATGTTGGCGTGTGATCCACATCCCCATGCCCACGATCACGCCCACGACCACGACCACGACCATATAGTACCTACAAAAAAAAAAATTTCAACATTTCAACATTTCAAAAATTAATCAAAATTTCAACATTAGTTTCAACAACATTTAATGAGTAATTTGAACAGAAAATTTTTAGCAACAGTTTGATGAAAGGTTTTGAATATTACATATCCAACAAAAATTTCACAAAAATTCCCTAAACAAAATAATGCTAAGATGTTGGCGTGTGATCCACATCCCCACGCCCACGACCACGCCCACGACCACGACCATATAGTACCTACAAAAAAAATAAAATAACATTACATCAAAGGAACCATAAAATAAAATGGAACTTCACATGAATGAATGACAAAATAAAAGAGGAAAGGTGAAAAAAAAATTACTTCACTACATGCAGGACTATTTGAAGCTTGCGAGTGATAACTACTTGCATTGTTAAGCAATGCTTGATAGGTTCCATGGACGGAATACATCGATGGCATTGCAAAATGCATATTGTGATGAAGAAAATTTGGCTGCAACAATAACAACCACATATCAATCTAAAATGATAATAGTCAGCTACAAATCCATACTAAAAATTTTTATTAAACTAACTTACATCATAGGCGGGATACATAAATTGAGATGGAGAAGCTCTAACTTGAGGAACACTCGGCGTGTCAGGAGGAAGTTGAGGAACACTTGAAAATAAAGGAGCCGACTGAGGAATTAAGGGAGGTGCTTCAGGAGCACTTGCCGGAAATAAGGGAGGACTTTGAGGAGTAACAGACATGGAAGTTTGAGAAGCATTATGTGAACTTGTTTTATTTTTCTTTGCCAACGCAAGCTCCAAACCACCTTTTGTCCGCCTTCATCCCTTGCTAGTGCACTCTTTTCTCTTGAGTCCTTTTGCTTGGACTACATTTTTATCCGCTACACCATCCACTTCAAAGCTTTCGGGGCATGTGTTGGGGGGGCTTTCTTGTTGAATAGTATCTGAACAAGGCATATTGAATTTTGCGCTTAACATGGTTTCAATGTCTGCAATTAATGCGTCCGCTTTCTCGACCGTCAAATTATATGTTTCCTCACTTTCAGAAGCTCTACACGCTGCTGATCTGAATATTGCCATCAATGACCTATAACGTGAAGTTTGATGCAATCTTACATCAACCTGAATATCATGCCCACACCTATCTTTCACATTTTCAGATCTTGCTTTTTTAGTCCATCTCTTCATAATATATTGTGAAGGAATCTCTTTCAAATTGAGTCTTTCTCTAAGGATCTTCAAACAATGACTACACAAAATGCCCTTCATTTCAAACTTCCTACAATTGCAAGTGACCGAATCATCACACTCCTGCCTCACCTTCCTCACCTTTATACCATTACTATCAAGAACCGTATAAACGGTACTCTCACCATCATTTTCAATTTCTTCAATGTTGACTTCAAGGGACTTGACATACTCATCCTGAAATTCTTTAAAAAATTTATTTGTGTAAACAGCTGCAGCTTGCTCCATAATCTTCACTTTAATATTCACCCTGGGCAACTTTTGGCATAGAGCATATTCAGCTTGTAACTCTTTGTACCTTTTCTCAGACAGAACTCGATCAAAATGCATAAAAAATTGCGTTAAGTTATGATCAGACCGAATGAAATCCTTCAAGAAAGCATTAAAGGATTCACTAAGTTGGGTGCTACTCATGCCCGCACCCCATGCATTTCTAACATATGGCCAACCCTATTTTTCCTTGACCCCAAATGTTAACTTCAACCAATGATTATCTGCTACTTCATACTTGTCAAGCATTTCCTCCCATTTTAACATAAACTCTTCCTCATCCTCAATGTCGTACATAAACGTGTATAAAACACTCTTCATCCCCTTATCCTTCATCGCCTTATCCTTGAAGATAAAATTTGCATGCCTTAATGCATTTTGCATCAAATGCCAAGTGCAAAGGCGGTGGGTTGTGTTAGGCATGACAATAGGTATGACCTTAGCCATTGCAGCATCCTGATCCGTAAAAATTGTTTTTGGCGCCTTACTTGACATTGCCTCCAAGAATCTTCTAAAAAGCCATACGAAAGAATCGGCGGTCTCATCATACATCAAAGCTGCACCAAATACCACAGTTTTCCTATGATGGTTTAATCCAACAAAAGACGCAAATGGTCTATGTGCACTATTTAACTTGTAAGTAGTGTCGAAAGTGACAACATCACCAAATTGCCCATAATCCATGATCATCTGAGCATCGGCCCAAAATATGTTCGTAATCTGCTCCTCGTTATCTAATTGGACCGAGTAAAAAAAAGATGGATTCTCCAATGATTTGTCACGAAAATATTGCAAAATGCTACCTGCCTCCCCATATGCTAAACTGTTTTGCCTCTTCGTTCTCAAATAATTTTTTTGGTCAAGTTTTGTAAACCCAAGCGACTCCCTTCCACCAACTTCATTACCCATGAGCTCAAATGCAGCATTAAGACGGATTCCAGATCTTTCGGCTAAATCTATTTCGGTTGCCTGTGATGAAGATATCTTCCTTTGGGATGGTAACATATGCGTACATTCTGCTGGTACGAAGATATGATTATGTTGTTCAACAAAATCACTAACAAAAAATTTCTGAATATTCCTATCCCACTTAATGACAACTCGGGCTTGACAACCAGTCCTCACTTCCTGCCTAGGATTTTTTGTTAATGGATCTCGCTTGTCGACAACCCGAAATCCTTCCTTATTACAAACAAATTGCCTTGAAGTGATTTGCCCCTCTTTGCTCTTGTTTACATAACCCCTTCTAATACTAAAGCCCAACCTTCCTCCATAAGTATTATAGAAATCATATGCTTCTTGTTCTGTATCAAATGTCATGCGAACTCTAGGCTTCCAATCACACTCACCACCGTCATTCTCATGATTGTTAGGTTCCATATCAATGTGCCAAGTCACTTAAAAATAAAGAAGTGCTCAATATTAGCATAAAAATTGTATACAAACCGAATAAGATAATTAACGAATAACAAACGTACCACTTGAATATATATAAACAAACAAGGAACAATTCTACTAATTAATAATTTTTACACTCTTATGATCAATAATTACTAGACCATATCAGGCCAAATAAGAAATGAAGCAGATAAATTCACTAGTAAAGCATCAGCTACCTTTCCATATTTCTAACTAGTCATTTTCTATAATCTGAAATCCCATGTTTGCTAACTAAGAGTTCAAAGGAAAATAAGTGCAACAAAACTAAAAAGACTGATCATATGCTTAGTTTAATTTGTATTTCCTTGGGCCTTAAATAGAAAATACTCTAATAATAAACATTTTAAGTTTCTTCTTCTTCCTCACATTTAATTGGAAACCAAATTGACAAAAGGAAAAACAAGCACAATAGACACTTCCTAAATTAATAATTGATTTTCAACTGTGAGGTTACTTCTCATCAACTATACATCACCAAAGCTTTAATTTTAATTTATTCTTCAGCGTTGAGATTGAGGAATTGATGAGTGACAAAAATGAGAAAGAAACAGAAATTCCATTTTTGAAATAAATTCAAATCTCAATCTCTTATCTTCAGTATGTGACACCACGGACCATTCAAATCTCAGAAATTCCATATTTTGAAATAAATTTAATTTTAGTTTATTCTTCAGCATTATTTTCTCGGCTGCCAAACAAAGGAGGAGGAGGAGAAGATTGGGGAAAATCTCAGATTCTGGGTCAGGGAGGAAAGTGAGAAATTTACTATTCCCAACAACATAGATAGGAATCCAACGACAAGATGCAAAATCAACGACATATGTGACACCACGGACCATTCTCACATTACCTAAAAGCTTCAACTTGCTTAAAGAAAAAGATGATCTCTGTTTGTCTCGCAAGCAAACCACTTCAAATGTATCTGTAAACCAAAAAAAAAAAGTATATTCAGAGAACCAAACACAAAAAAGATAGAAAATCGAAGTCAGACAACAATTTACACACTGAAATAAGATTGAAATACATATATATCTACACACATATATGTGTATAAAGGGTGCAAATCAATGATTTAAGCAATACATGAAATAAAAAAGCCTAACATGTTGGTAGACAAGAATAGAACAGAGAGAAAGAGAGAGAGAGAGAGAGAGAGGAATAGGGAATGAGATGAGAGACCGAAGCTTACGGCAGGACAGTGGCGACTGCGACGGTGGGGCGACGGGGCGACTGCGACGGTGGGCCGACGGGATGCACGACGGAGCAGCCTCTCTAACTCTTCTTCCCTCTCTCCTTCTTTCGCAGCTTTGGTTCTTCCCGCTCGTCTCCTAATTCTCTTCAGCCTGGGGGAATTTTGAAATCGCAAAAATGGTTTTTTTTTTTTGGAAAGTCCTCACCAAAACGACGTCGTTTTGGTGAGGCTTAACCACAGCCGTCTTTTTTTTTTTTCGTGAGAACGATTCTGAACCGTCGGATCATCCACCCTAGAGGATCACTCTAGAGTAACTCAAGAGGATCCGGACGCCCATATCCAAGCTCGCTTTTCCGTTCCCTTCCTTTCCATGCCTTTCGTTTCCCTCACCTTCCTTTTCCGACGAAACAAACACTATGCTCGTAAGCAGAGCTCCAGAGCTGTCACTCTTCACGTTCTCTCTCCTCTCGAACTCCAACCCTAACCCTAACCCTAAACCCAGCAAATTCATCTCCATTCCCATGCGCACAGCCCTCACAATCCTCCGCTCTCTCGCTCCCTCCCTCCACCACTACCACCATCACCGCCGCCTCCTCCGCTCCATCTCCCTCCCCATTCTCTCCTTCTCCGGAACCCCCACCCGCCGACTTTCTTCATTTGCGCCGCCCTCGGCAGCGCCGTTGAGTACTTTCGTCGAACATTTGGCGGACGAAACCGATTCCAACGCGGTCCGAGAAAACTCGGACTTCTCACGGAACAGAGAAGACGAAAGCTTCAACTTTGATGTATCTTTCGAGTCGACTGAATTGAAGAACTTGAATTCGCCGCCGCTCGAGGTTCGGGAGTTGGAGGAGCTTCCGGAGCAGTGGAGGCGGACGAAGTTGGCTTGGCTGTGCAAGGAATTGCCTACGCATAAGGCTGCGACGCTGATTCGGATACTGAATGCACAGCGAAAATGGATTCGGCAAGAAGACGCGACCTATTTGGCGGTTCATTGTATGCGAATTCGCGAGAACGAGACTGGTTTTAGGGTATATTTACTGTTATTCTTTTTATTTGTTTCTCCAAATTTAAACCTTGCTGCAGAAAATTGGGGAAATTGAAAGAATCTGGTATTTTGGCTGTTGGAATTGATGAAATTCACAAAATCAAGTAACATGGATAATGTTTGATGAGAATATAGTAAATTGGGTTTCTACCAATGTTGGAATCGAACCTCCAATCGTTGACATCTCTTTCATCATTTTAGTTGTCAATATGCTAATCAAGAATTCATCTAGTGAGAAAGCTACTCCACAGGGTTATAAAATTCAGTTCTGATTAAATTTCTACCAATATACAAAAATTTATGAAAGGATAAACCATTAAAAAATAAAATAATTTTCATTGATCATGTACTAGAGATAATAGATAATGCCTTTTGTCTAATTTAAGACGCGCTTCTGTACACTGAATTACTAGAATGTTTCAATTGTTATTTTTTAAACAAATCAATATTATCTTTTCTTTGTAAGCAATTGAAATTTTAATCATCACTACATCAGTGCCATCAAAATGTTGCCTTCTTATATGTTTTTTATTTTTATTAAAAAATTAACACAAAGAGGAACTTATTTGTTTCGGTCATTGTACATCATGAGTTATGACGCCTGAGTTTTGTACCTCGAGTTCAATTCTGTGATTAAGGAACATTTATTTATTTGTTTTATTTTTATTTCAGGTATACAAATGGATGATGCAACAACATTGGTTTCAATTTGATTTTGCTCTTTCTACTAGGCTAGCAGATTTCATGGGCAAGGAGCGAAAATACATAAAATGTCGGGAGATATTTGATGACATAATCAATCAAGGACGAGTGCCTAGTGAATCGACCTTTCATTTTTTGATTGTTGCCTATCTTAGTTCGCCAGTTCAAGGTTGCCTAGAGGAAGCATGCAGTATTTACAATCGCATGATTCAATTGGGAGGCTACAATCCCCGACTTAGCTTGCACAATTCTCTTTTCAAAGCCCTTGTAAGCAAACCAGGAGGCTTTTCTAAACACTATCTCAAACAGGCAGAGTTTATATTTCATAATTTGGCAAGTTCTGGACTTGAGATACACAAGGATATTTATGGGGGTCTAATTTGGATTCATAGTTACCAAGATACCATAGATAAAGAGAGAATAGCATCATTATGGGAAGAGATGCAGGTAGCTGGAATTGAAGAGAGCAGAGAAGTGCTTGTGTCCGTATTGAGAGCTTGTTCTAAGGAAGGGGATGTGCAGGAAGCTGAAAGAACTTGGCTGAAACTCCTCCATTGTGATGGTTCTCTCCCTTCTCAAGCTTTTGTGTATAGAATGGAAGTTTATGCAAAGGTTGGGCAACGTCTTAAATCTTTGGAGCTATTTAGAGAAATGCAGGAGCAGTTAGTTTCCACCAGTGTAGTGGCGTATCACAAAATCATAGAGGTGTTGTCTAAAGGTCTAGAAATGGAACTGGCAGAGTCCCTCATGAAAGAGTTCATGGAGAGCGGTTTGAAGCCCCTAATGCCATGTTTTATTGATCTAATGGACATGTACTTGAGTTTGGATCTACATGATAAATTGGAGTCAACTTTCTCCCTGAGCCTTGAGAAATGCCGTCCCAATCGAACTATTTATAACATATACTTAGATTCATTGGTAAAAATAGGCAATATTGAGAAGGCCGAAGAAATCTTCAACCAAATGGTTAGTAATGGGGCAATTGGTGTTAACAGCAGATCAAGTAACACTATTTTAAGTGGTTACCTGTCTAGTGGAGATTATGTGAAAGCAGAAAAGACATATGATTTCATGTGCCAGAAAAAATATGACATAGAATCCCAATTGATGGAAAAGCTTGATTATGTGCTGAGCTTGAGCAGGAAAGTTGTCAAGAAACCCATAAGCTTGAAGTTCAGCAAGGAGCAGCGAGAGATTTTGGTGGGGTTGCTGTTAGGTGGGTTGCGCATTGAATCAGATGAGGAGAGAAAAAATCATGCAATCCGTTTCGAGTTCGGTGAGAAACTTGAAATGCATTCTATATTGAAAAGACATATACATGACCAGTACCATGAGTGGTTAGCTCATTTCAGTAAGCCAATTGAAGACAGTGATGACATACCATACCAGTTTATTACAATCAAGCACTCTTATTTTGGCTTCTACGCAGATCAGTTCTGGCCAAAAGGCCGACTTGTGATTCCAAAGCTAATTCATCGGTGGTTGTCACCACGGGTTCTTGCATACTGGTATATGTTTGCGGGCTACAGAACATCATCAGGGGATATTTTGTTGAAGTCAAAAGGAAGTCAAGAGGGTGTTGAGAGGATCGTGAAAGCAATGAAGGCAAAATCTTTGGATTGCAAGGTTAAAAGAAAGGGGAGAGTATTTTGGATAGGTTTTCTTGGAAACAATGCAACGTGGTTTTGGAAACTCGTAGAACCATACATTCTAGATGATTTGAGAGATTTTCTAGAAGCAGATAGCAAATCCTTGGACAGAATGTCAGAAACCCAAGCCGTTAATTTTGATAGTCGGTCTGATTCTGACGAGGAGGCATCCAAATACAGCAATCATGATAATTCATAAGACTTCTTGTTTAGTGATCTATGCCCTGTTAGCGTGGTTTTTTCCACAGGTTAATGCTTTTGAGGCCTCCCAAACAACTGTCTAGATTGTCCAGGATGGCATCTCTATGTAGATACTCCACTGCATACAGTTAGAACATGCTATTTATTTAGTTAAACTAATGAATGAAGGATCATGTTATTATTTTCATACTTGGTTTGTCGCAACAATCATATCATAAATTTTTTCCTTGGTTGAATATTTATTGGTAATGGAGTAGTTCGGATCAGATTTTTGCGAAAATCACCTTCTTTTTTTTGTTTTTCCTGCTTTATTGTCTGTAACATTAGTATTCCGCTAATCATATTTGTCTCAGGTTTTCCATGCTGACAACTGACCATTGCATCTTGTAGTCATGGCTCATGTGGAGTCTCCCAGTGCATGGCTCACTCCGTGCATGATATGAGTATTATTACACAGTGTTATCAAATTCTAGATCATGGTTTTTCAGGTATTTATTGTGTAATTCTAGCCATTTTAGGAATTCACGTAGCTAATTCTTCAGTGAATTGCTTTCGTAGTTCCTGTTTAAATAGCCTCTTTACTTGTGCCCTATTCATGTCATTGAGGTCGAATTTACAGATATTTTAAAAATTTTGGATAAAGTAACAATAGATCCTAATAATCAACTTAATTCTCATCAAATTTTATTGAAAATAAGTCTTGGTAAAATCGTTGTTAAAATTAATTTTTTATAATAAATTTTTGTATATTACTAAAAATTGATAAGTAGTGACTTTTTTTGTTACGATTTTTATAAATTGTCGCTAAAAACTTATAATTAGTAACGTTTTTCTGTGATGAATTTTTTAAACTATTGCTGAAAGTTAAAAATTAGTAATTTTTTTGTGATATTTTTTTTTAAACTGTCTCTAAAATTTATAATTAGTAACATTTTTTGTGATAATTTTTAAATTATCGCTAAAAATTAATAATTAGTGATATTTTTTAATAATATTTAATAAAAAATATCATTAATTCTTATAAAATCTTTTAAATAATAAATTCACGTATTAACACTAACACGCAAGTCCTCAAATTTGAAATATTGAAATTCATTTATATTAGAAGGCAAGAACATCCGTCATCCATTATTTCTGAATTCTATCCCATGTGAACGACTCTTGGTATATTAGTTGTCTCATTCTTTACGACTGAATATTTTATCAGGCCAGCTGTTATTAATACTTGTCTAAATTTTTTGGAACCTCTCATTTTTTTGAGTTCCTATCTTAAATCTTAAATTTTAATAAGATTTTTTTGAACACTTCATTTGATATCAATTTTATCCGTATTCATAATATTATCACACGCTCACCTAATTTTGCACACCCTCTCTCCTTCTCATTTTGATGACCGTCCATCTCCAGTTAAAAAGAATGTTGATTGTCATTGCATTAATAAGTACCATTATCTTAGTGAAGAACATTGCATTGACGGTCCATCATTGAAATTCCTGTCAACTCTCAACGAAAAGGAGGAATCGACTCGATGGTGTCCAAAGAATATCATTGGAAAACTTGTCGGAAATTCTTGTCTACAATTTCAGAAAACTCGTCGAAAATTTCTCTAAGGTAAAACCCTCACGAAACACACAACCTGGTGTTGAAGACACAAAAATCAAATCGTTCAGCACACCAATACTGATTATCTGCATTACTGTTAGGAATCCATATATTGAACTAAATGTTTGTGTTCAGTACTGTGTTACTAAACATAATCTTAACAGTCAACAAACCAATATTGAACAGCTTGGACAAAACAACAACGATTAAAAACGACCGAAAGTGTTAATACAAGACAGATAAACTTACCAATGGAACATCAACCTCATCAAAATTGTTGCCATCTTTCTCCATTGTTCTACAATGTGAAATAACTGATAAAGAGTAATATGTTGGACTTGAAAAGAGTTTTCTAGTTCAAGGTTTCTGGTTCATGAAGGTTTGTGATGGTAATGAAGAGAATACATTTAGTGTTTAAGAGAAGAGTAATAGATTTGGGGTTTGTGTTAGTTAGTTATGAAAAGTAACATGTTTAGGGTTTAGAAATGTGGAATATGTATAGCTGGAGGTAAAGGTGGGGTATACAATATTATAGAGTGTTAGTTCTTATTTAGTAGGTAGATGTTCCATTATCTGATATCTTTTAATGTAATTTTATTTCAAGATATAATTGTAATTAAAAAAAATAAAAGGGTAAATTATAATTTAACCACCTGTGGTTTGCCTCAAAAACACGGAGCCCCCCTATAGTTTCATTTGTAACACTTAAACCCCCTATACTTCATACCAGAGTGCAAAATCCAACGGAATTGTTTGTTTAAACAGTGCGTGTGTTGCACAACCAGAAGTGACGAGTGGAGCACGTTTTCCCGCCCAAAAACATATGGCAAATGACGAAAACACCCTTATTGCCATATATATACACAAATCAAGACCCAAATAAGATAGAACCCTAACTTGAAATGTTCCCAGATTGTTCGAAAGTTGCCCAGATTTTCCGAAAGTTGAAGATTATTGTTGGATGGCTTCTTCATTTGCTTCCGAAAGTGGATAGTCAAGGACAAATGCTCCAAGACTATGTTATTGTGGAGAAAGATCCCCTGTGAAGACTTCAATGACATCTGGAAATATGGGTAGAAGGTTTCGTGGTTGTACAAGATATGGGGTATGCAAAACTTAATTTTTATTTTTATTTTTGGAAAAAAAGATTGAATTTTTTTTGAAAAGGAATTTGTGGACTCATATTTTTTTATTATAGGTTGATGTAACTTGTGGCTACTTTGAATAGGTTAATCTACCCATGTGCCAATGTAGGAGGGAGGTGTTGCCAAGGATGGTTGCAAAGATGAACAGATTGGAGAAGGAACTAGCAAGAAGTCGTAGAAGGGAGAAAATATTTTGCAAAGCTCTGTTTGGGACATGGATTTTTTTCTTTATCATGACAATGTTCTGGGTGAAGTTCGTTGGAGTAAAGAAAAATGGGTTGTTATTGGGCCATAGAGTTTGAGAGATGAAAAATATAGTCAAGGTAGAAAATAAATGTGTACAATGGTCTATGAATCAATTGTAATGAAAAATGAATGTGTAAAATGAAAGAATATTTTGGTCAAGAAATGTATGCATCTGATGAACCAAAGAAATTGTAATGAAATAATGTTTTGTTCATTACATCTTCCAAGAACATTAAAGAATAAAAATATATTGGTTCCCATTCTGCTTCTGTAAAACATTTGGTGCCTTCAATGGATCTCTATACTTATTACATGTGCAGATACTATTAAGTATAGTTATAGACTTCTTACTTCTCCAATGATTCACACAAAACAAATGTCAAAGAAAAGACAAGCGGATAAAAAATAAGTGTATTATAAGCTACACAAGTTCATCTATTTAAAAAATAAGCAACAAAAGTTGATCTACTTAACTGTATTGTCCACATATAATATGATGCTATACAATGAGTGATCTTTCAATACTTAGTACCTATTGTAGGCTCCATATCATGTTATGCAATACAATAACTGTATTGCCCACATAGTGTTTATATCAATTATGTGAAGTACAAAACAATCAAGATATGAACCTAAAGGCAATCCATAGCGTTTATACATAAACATGCTTCTTAGGTAAAAATATATAGAATTACATTAATGGAAGCTTTTAGAGTAACCAGTTGTTAAAAGGGTATTAAAATAGAAAGGTCATTTGCTTCAGTTCACATTACTTTAATACAAGCCACAATTCAACCCACTGGGCTTCTCAAAACATAGTAAACTAAGATACTAGCCAGTTTCAAATTCAAAAACAAATTGGTACAGGCCACTTAATGGTTTAACAAGTTGAAAACTACTCAAAACACAACAAAAGCTGAGTTGTAGCTTTCTCTGCCATCATGCTTTCCCTTTGCCTTTGTCAATTTGCCTCTGAGTTGTAACTTTTGCAGACCCACCTCCTCCTCTACCTCTTCTAATGAAGCTACCTCCCAATGCAGATCTGGACATAACCCTACCACCTCCAACTGGTTCACCCCTTCCTCTGCCATAACTAGTGGGCTACAAAATAACACACACAAGTATCCAATTACATTTTGTCAAATACTATAAAAGCAAATGAACTTGCAAATGAAATTTGACTATACCTGAGATGAGGAGTAATCAAATTCTGGAGAACTGTATTGAACTCTACTGGGATGCAATGATAATGGTCCAAGTAAGCAATTATATGTTGTCAACTATGTCAAAACCAAATGACACCCATAGGAGAGAGAGCTTACCTGAGATACTGATGTCTTGCATGTCATACTTGGAAATTCTTCAAATGTGTGGCCAATTCTAGTGGGCTGCAATGATGTAACAAGTATGCAAATTAACAATAGAACTGGGCTACAATGATGTAATAAGTATGCAAAGTAGACAGATCTTACTTAAGATGAGAATGTGTTGGCCCTCCTACTAGAAAGCTTCCTTCTGGGCTGCAATGATTTATATTTGTATTAAGTCATTGTTGTGGAATGTATTGCAAAATGAAATGAAATTGGAGGTTCAGGTTACTTGATATGTTGTTGTTGTTGCTGTTGCTGGTGTTGATGAAGCTGTTGTTGTTACTGCTGAAGATGGTTGTTGCTGGTTACTTCTTGTTGGCTTAAAAAGCTTGGACTTGAGATGGACAAGGCCCTTACAAGACCTCTGGTTGTGACCTTTCTGAAGGCATTTAGCACAAACAATGAACCTATGCTGCCTTGAAACTCTGATAGGGTTTATTGGCTCATCTATACCCTTCTTTCTCATTTTTGGTAGTCTTCCAGGCTGCTTTCTGTACAATGGAGGAGCCACTACTGGCAGTCCTGTTTCAACCCAATCATGCTGGCCTAGAACAGGGTGCATCATTGAGTTGTAGGTTACAAGATAATGTTGCTTACTGTAAGAAGGGTGCACATAGTCCTATGGTTTCTCTCTTTGAAAAAATATGGAACTTACTGCATGTTTATAAGGTATTCCAGTCAAATCCCACATCCTACAACTACATTTCCTTTCCTCCAAATCAACAATGTACGTGGTAGCACCACAATCTACTTCAAATTTTCTGTCACCACAATAGGTTGCAAAACAATTCTTAGCTTGCACTTTCAATGCTTCTAAATCTTTGACAATGTTGGGACAAATTTCAGTAGTGTATTTTTCCATCCCTTCCTTCTTT